TATTCTCTACGCCTACCTTTTCAAATATTTTATATATCTTTACAGCTTTCTGAGTTTTCCTTTATAAGTTTTTACGGAAGATTTCTGGAAGACGTAATCCTGTATCTTCAGATTGTTGCTTTTGCAATACGGATAGGTGTTCCAACATTTTATTATAGATTATTTTCTTTGCCTTTTTTTCGTCTATTTTTTCTTTTCTATCTTGTACAATCACAGTAACCTGGGTTAAAAATTCCTTTTCATAATAATATCAGCGCAAAATCTCTTTTTGATTAGCATGAATTGCGTCATATTCAGCATCATCTGCTTTATCGAATAATTATGCTAGAGGAAGCAATGAAACTGTAGATGAATTTTGGTTAAGGCTCTCAATTGAAATCACATCGCAAGAAATATTTTTGTCGCTCGATTAGGCATCATCCTTAATACCGTCAGCTATCAATTGTACGATATTTTTTGCACCTTTCTTCCTATAGCTATTTTAGCCAGAGGCCTTAGCTGAAATTTTAGTCATGGGATTTGATACCTCTAGTATCTTTTTAGAAGTAGAGCACCCAGTGTCAGATTCTTGATCTTGGTTAAGAAATGCTTGCTCCGCTTTGCTAAGTTTCTTTTCCTTATTGCGTTGCTTTATTTCACTATTAATGATTTTCTTATAAGTCTCAAGCAAGAAACTATTCATCTCTTTCTCCTCTAACAGTTTTTCATAATAGACTACACCCAAATTGGCTGAAGGCACTAAAGCAAAGTTAGATGAGTTTTTGTTAGGGGTATTATCATTAGAGGTATTATTATTTAGTATTTGCTTCTGTTTCACTTTCGTGAGTCTATCTCTAAACTCAGATTCCAACTCCTTAATTTTAGTCTTAAGTTTGGTATTCTCAGCAATACGTCTCATTCTCTCTTCCTCAGTCGATCTTAGAGTCTCAGCAATCCTATGTTTAAGTTCAGCTCTTAGCATCAAAATTAGCAAACTTCATTCTAAGATTAGAATTCTCCTTTTTAAGTTCAGAAATCTTAGCATTCTCCTCCTTAAGCACAGCAATCTCAGTCTCATAATCAGCTATGATCTTAATATTCTCAGCTTCAAGTTCAGTGATATGCTGTTTCAATGATTCAAGCTCAGATAATATGATCTATATATAACTAATACAATATATATAAACATTCAAAATAAAAAAAAAATATGTTTTTGGCCGGGGTGCTCTGGCTGAAATTTGCTAAAAAAAATTTTTTATTATACATGCAAAAAATAAATACAAATGTTTGGGACGTAGCCTAGGATATATATTAATTTTTGATAATTTTTTTGATTCTAGCCCTTTTGCTAGCTGGAGAACTATCAACACTAACCTTATCCTTTAACAGCCCAATAATAATACTTATTATCCTTTTCACGTTGCTTTGAAGTAATTCAGGGTTTTCTTTAACGGCAGACTTTGTAAGATTAATCTGATATTCACTTCCACTCGTAGAGTATATACCATCTAGAGTATATATGATAAAGTGCCACTCTGTACCTGTAGTCACAATATTATAGATATAGTTAAAATAGTCGTTCCCAAATGCTTGATCTGCAGTCTGCTTCTTCTTATTTATCTGAAATGCACTTTCAAGCTGGGTCAGATTCTAAGAAAAATAAAATGTGTTAATATTGAATCTTTTAAAAAATACAGATCTGTATAGTAAACGCACCTGCGCATATCTGATCTTAATATTACGAGGCTTTCCTTCAGTGATACATAAGAGGTCTTCTAGAACTTTGATTGCATAGTCAACTCGACCAATTGAATCTTCTCCTGAAATATCCTTCCGCAACACTATAAATATATCTTAAAAGGTGAGTTTTTTGGTGATGGCAATTGATGCATGTAATATAACTAATATAAATTCATAGCATTTTGCCTAGTTAGCATTGATCATGATTTTCACATTCGAAAGTTTTAAGATAATATCCTCTATACAGTATTCGAATGCTTTATCATCATTATTAATCTCCTCGAAGATTACAGAGAAAAATAAAGTTAATATGGCTATCTAGTTAGTTTGAAAATTAATTAATTACCTACCGGGAGTAAACTGCTTGATGTTTGTTATATCTTTCCCATTGACCTTATTTCTATATAACATTTCTTTCAAATCGTCAAGAGTCTTAAGTGAGGAATAATTTCGTAACTTCTGGCTGAAACCTTCAATAAATTTTGCTAGTATTGTTGCAGGGCTAACTTTCAAGTTATAATTTCAAAAATCCTCTTTAGTTATATCAAGAAAGGCAAGGCCAGAAATTTCTTCTTTGCGTAAAATTTCGAAGTGGGACTCCTCTAGCTTCAAGTTTTCTTTTTCAAATATTCAATAAGCTCCTCTGTATTAAAATCCTTAACCACATCCGACATTGTTCATGAAGAAACTTCTTCCATTATTAAGCTTGGAGAAGAAGGTGTAAAGGGTTATAAAGATATAGCGTTTATATATGAGTGCTTGTGTTTGTACTTGCGAAAAATATGCACTTGATACAGGTAAAGCTAGTTTATAGATATAAAAGTATTTTTGGTTTCAGCGTTCGGGTAGAAATGATAGATTTTTTTGTATTGATTCATAATGCATTTGCTTAATATATATGCAATTAATACATAGTACAGGATTATCAGACGATTATGTTACATCATTACATGTGATATTTATCAAGTTTTACAACAGGATGTAATATATGCTTTATTTTTTAAATAAAAAACATTGCCAAAACAACAGATACATGAAAATAAATTCTTGAAAAAGGTTATATAATGTGGATATAATAATTCCTAATATGGATCCAACAATTTAACACTATATTCTCCTCCATGTAATCTTTTAATCTCACTTAGCATATTACTGATAATTCTATTATTCTCTTTCAATATTTTTTGGTAGTTATCATGTAATTTATTGAATTCAGAGGCGGTTACAACTTCAACAGACATAGAGTATTCTTCTGCTTAAAAAAAATAAGGAATAAATTATAGTATAGCAGAAGCTTGGCTTTACTTAAGAGATATATATTATTATAGTAACTCACTTTGTTTTTCTTTGAGTTCTTCTACTAACTCTATAATATCAGTTGCATTCTCAAACTTAATTTTGAATGGACCATTTTCATTAGTAAGCATTTGTATGGTTAATCTGAGAAAAGCTTTTCTACCGATATTCTGTTTTTCAATTTTTTCAATGTCATCTTCATTATAACTTGAATTATTCATATGTCTCTTGAGATATTTTTTAATGTGAGCTAGAATCCAATATTTAACATTGGGAAGTTTGTCAGATATTATTAAAAGACCCATTTTTTAAATAGCGTATATTATACTTATATATAAAATTATAAATGTAACATTGATCACGAAAAATACAATGTAAACTCGATGCAAAATCAGGGATCTAACCTTTTGGGATTAGCAATTGCTTATTTGGTACAGGAAAAAAATAAAAGCCATAAATTGTTCATATCGATCTGAAGATGCTTCGAGTATATGTATTGAGAGAACTTTTCTTACTGCGTATATTCTCTAATGTATAGTTACATCTATATCACATAGGCATTGCATTAGTCAGCATCATTTCACGTGGTATTTTTCAAGATTTACGACAAGAACATAATATATGCTTTATTTAAGAAATAAAAAAACATTGCTAGAACTTGGCCTACAATACATAAAAATTGCAAATATATCGCTTTACATGACACAAATATAGATAAAAAATTTCTAACTGGTTGGGAAATCACTTGATTTCGAATCAGACTCTTTCACATGGTAATTGCTAATCCTCCTTTTTGATTATCTTGATTTTATAAAATAAGACTATTAGAATAACGAGAACCCCATTAATAAAATACAACCATAATGCTATACAAAGCGTCTTTATATAATTACTCACATAGATCTTTAATATAATCCTCAAATTTTAACGCTTGTCTTAATGTTATCCCGTATTCCTTAAATTCCAATCTGGTTAGCTTGAGAAATAAATGACTGGCGATTTGTTCATCATGAAGCTTTGTAAAAAAGTTATTGTCAAGTTTTAAGCTTTCAAAATTATAATCACTCCGCAAAAAGCTGATAAGTCTTTCAGTTTTCCATCCTTTTATCGTGTTAGCCATGGAAGATATTTTGCTTTCCTAAATACAAGAATCCGTTGTGAAAAAAACTTGCTTTATACATACAATACATAACTTCTGACACATACAAACCTTATTTTGCGGGAAGGTTGGCTGAACTTCCACACTCCTACATGCTTTATATCTTGCTGGAAAAAAGTTAAGGAAATATAAGACGTGATTAGTATTATTGTATGATGCCAAGAGCTTCATGAAAGTATATGTAAACGGAATCCTCATACCTTTTCACATGTAGATCTACCAGAGAGATGCAAAGGTAGTTAGTTCTTGTAGATCTTGAAATTACAAAGTCCTCATCCCTTCATAATATATGCTTTTAACGTTAATATTTACTTTTACAGTAGGTCCTGTATTGCAACTAGACCTCCTTTCACATTTTCTCACATTTATTTAGGGAAAAAATAATGAATAAAAGATAATATATTTTCTTTTTTGAATATATATGCAAAATTAATATGTCACATAAGATTCCAATTGATAATTCACTTATTTTTTGTCGTATAAAAGTATATGCATGTGGCTTAGCAAAAAAAATCTGATTAATGATCATCACTCTGAACTATTGATCTAACCAACCCTGAATCAGAATATCACTGCAAATTATCTCGCATACTTAGATCTAAGAGGCTCTGAAGACTCTGAGCTAAAATCTGTCTATTAGCAACATTGTTTTGTGTAAGATGATTTCTAACCACTCCAATGAGATCAGAAGGCGTTAAAGTTTCCACAAAATCCTCTACGTGGATATCTGGATTTAGCTAATTCACAGCTTTTTTGCTAATATTATAACACCTCCTCAGATTAAGAAATTTTAAATTAAGACATAATCTAGCAATTTCTTTGATAGTTATATCAGTAATTTTACAAAAGTTAAGGTCAAGTTGCCAGAGTCTTGGGTAAGAACGAATAATATTACAAATTGATATTTCAGAAAATTCTGTGTGTTTAGAAATATTTAGACATTCTAATTTATGACATGAATTTGCGATTGCAGTTAGACCTATATCATTTTTTGGCCAAAATTCCCCGCCTAAATTAGATATATTGAGATACTCTAAATTTAGGTATGATTCCGCTATTAGCTTTAGAACTTTACCTGTATAGTCTGTACTTCCTTCAAAATATAAATGAATTATATTCGGGAATGTGTGTATAATACTTTTAATTTTTTTATTTGAAAGTGAAGGGTAGTGTGTTATTTTAAGATGAGTTAGTTTCGGGCTATAAACTGGTTTTCTTTCTCCTCCAGATACTATTTTTAAAATTTTTCCAATTGAAATTTATCATCTACTTCATTTCCCTTTAGTTTAATATGTCTCCATAGAATAGGAGTACCACATCTGTATCACAATTAGGAAATATATAGAGCGGGATAGAGGGATTTATCTATCGCTAAAAAATGTAAAATCTATTCTAATAGTTTTGGTAAATAAAAGATGCTTGATTGCGTTATACATAGTGCATATTATATATTATATCTTTAAATGGAAAAATAAAATTACGTGATCACTGCTCTGGACTGGCTGGCTTAGAAGAACAATCATCTTTTTGCGTAAACTCTAGCTCCTGTGCCAATCTATCCAATGTTAATTTAAGACCAATTATATAGGCTTCTTGTCAGAATTCAGGCGCAACCCCTGCTAGAAACACCTTTTTAATATTCTTGTTCACTTCTTTTATAATGTCATCTAAACTCTTCATATTGTGTAAGTCACTATTAAACCCCATACTTTGTCATATTAGTCTATATCTTTAATCAAAAAAAAGATTAGCTATTGCTCAACAGAATCTCTTAAGCGAGCGGGATGATCACTGCTCTGAACTAGTTAGATCAGACTGCTCAGGTCAGATTCCTTCTAAGTTTCACCTTCTTACTAGCGAATTTTTTCTTCACATATACTTTACTTTGTGAATCTTCTTTTTTGGGTTGATAAGTCCAATCTCTCGCTTTATATGACGCATAATCTGAATCAGATTCCTCAAATTCTTCGATTTCTTCAGGTGTTATAGTATTATATAGATAATATATTTCTCAGGTAAATCTTTTAAGATTTTGATGTATTCTAGTTACATCACATTCTAATATCATAATGGACTCTTTAAGCTCCTTAACAGCATATATCTTTCCTTTTTCCAAATCTGTGTAATATTTTTTAGAAGGCATTTTTATATATCTGGAAAAAATAACTAAATATTTATTGCACCAGAACAGAATCTATAATATTTATGTTGGCAACTCCTTTCTACTTACATATATGCACTGTTCACTAGTCTAGCTTATCGTGATAGGCTAGATAAAAATGTTGCTCTTCTCTAAAAATCCCCAGGCATCTCTTGCATTCCACTAAGGGACCACATTTTCAGCTATCTGCTATACATTATATTTAACTATTTCTTTTTCTTACCTATAGCATATTTCATTGCGAAGCATATAGCTTTCAATCTCTACCTGTTTTTTAGCTTTCTCAATTTCCCTTTCGGTATAAGAATTCTTTATGTTTTGATATAAATATCCTTGCATGAAATCATCATAAGGATATTTTCTCTCTACCTCTTCCTTTTCCAACTCCTTTTCTTGTTCCAATTTATAATATGCTAGCACTTGTATCTTTCATCTTCTTTGAAACTCATGCTAGATTTCTTTATGCCAAGTGCTATTTATCCAGCAGAATTTATCAAGAGCTTCTAATAGGAGCTTTTTGACGATTTCAGCAATTGTATCTGCTTTTTCAAGTGGGTTGAATGCATTGTATATCAAACATATTGATTTACTTAACTAATGTTTTTTATTTCAATTGCTAAATCCCCCCATGTAAAAAATAACTTATAAGGAAGATTTGCCAAAGACAGCTAGATTGCTATTGCTCTGAGCATCTGTTCTATTTTATCATCTGACTTTTCGTGATTCTCCTCCTTAGCTATATGATAATAAAGCTCATATAATTCCTCTAAACTGCTATATAGATCATTATCTTCATACCTTTTGCGATAATTTTCTAGTCTTTCAGTATATGCTTCTTCTTTAGGAAACATCTTTACTGCAAGTATCTTAATATAATTGTTCAGATCCTTTTCAGCTTGCAGTTTCTTTAGATAGTCTCCATAATTTTTCACAAGATTATCATATTTTCTATTCTTTCACAATGCAGTTTTTATAACTTTGACTTGCGTAAGTTCTATATTCTTATGATCAACCATTTTGTATATTTCTACTATAACAATAAAAAACTTTAATTAATAAAATATATTCTTTAGAATTTTTTTACCCAAAAAAATATTTGTTATAAAGCATCTATACCTTGACACGAAATTTAGCTTTCATAGCCCTTTCTTCTACTTCTTTAGGAGATATTCCAGATGCTATCAGGCACTTATATAGTCTAATTTGCCAATGTTCATATAGGAGGGATCTGATTCCATCAAGTAAAATTCAGCGCTTATTGTCATATGGATTCAGCCCAATTTTATTTACTCTCTCCAGATAAATTTGATAATCATAACTGCGTAGACCATACATATCATATCAGGTTAGCTTCCTAGTTCTGAAACATTCTAAAAATTTGTCATGTCGAAGCTCCCTTTTGACTACACATTTCTTTACACCCTTTGCCTTCTAGATGCCATGCTTTTTCTTCCATTTCTTTTCATCCTGTGACTTTCTATATTCTTCCTCTTCTAACTCTTTTTCAAAATCTGCATCCGTTTCAGGAGTTTTAAGATCATGACCTGCTAGAAGAACTGAATACATTTTTGGCTTTAAGCATACTGATTCGCTTATTGGATCCTCTTTTGTCTCATCCTTTATTAGAAATAAGTTTCCTGAATAGTTAAAATCGAAAATGTCTGGTCTTTCTACTCAATCTTTATAGATATCCTCAGTTTCTATCCGCATGATAAGTGAGTCTGTATCTGTATAAAGTAGATAGGCCTTTTCTTCATAGCAAGGCTTTATGTAACTGTACCAAAGTTAAACATCATAGCCTTGCCAATGTCGAAAATTGCCTGCCTTATATAGATTGGTTTGTTTAGAGTTACTGTATTTTTTAGCATATGCACAGCTGTTATCCCACCCTCGAATGCTTTAAAGCCTACAAATAATGGAGAACTTCAGAGTAGCTCTACTCTCATATGCTTGCGAACATTCTCCATCTGTTTGCCGAAAATGGCATTGTTCTTTAGTTTATAATATATGAACCTAACGCATTTCCATTAACCTTTACTATTTTGCGCTTGCAAATATTTTCCTCAATATATTTTTTCATCTAGGAGGATTGCTTAAACTTGAGTGCGCTGTGGATCTTTGTGACCTTTAGCCCTTGTCTCATATATAGCTGGAGTGCATGATAATGGATCACGTAGTTCTTTTTGGAATAAAGGGTTTGGACAAGATTTTCTCCTGTTACATATTTACCACCTTCCATTTCCTTGTCTTGTATTAATTTTACATTATATGGACTTAACCAGTTTTCAGGTACTATTTGCTTTTCTGGCGTTAATAGATAATCTGTAAAGTAATTGTGTAAGTATACTGGGACTTCTAAATCAACTTCAAGTGTATAACCTATATCTGCATCAGGTGCAATGCTTTGGATATCTGATACTTTTTCTGGGTTCACTTTACCTAAGATTTCTGTAGACATGTATTGAGTTATCGCGTCTGAGTATAAGGCATTCATATCCTCATACATTATCCAGAATTTCAGTTTGCTAGGATCATAGTCAGGACATTTTAGATTATTTACGTTAGCATATCGATGACATGCCATTGTCATGCCACCATGAATTTCTTTCTCAACTGTTAGATACTCATTCATATCTGTCATGAGTTTGAGCTCTACTCCACTGCTCTTATAAAGAGAATCATTAAACATTTCAGATACAGATACATAATGAGAGGGATCTAAGCCATCATCCTATAAGCACATAATAGTATAATTCATGAACACGTCAGCAAGCAAAGTATATCAGTTTTGAAATATAAGTCATAGTATTCCCAAAGTTTTTCATCTCAAATATTTGCCATACTTCTTACGCATGTTTGTAATCCTCCTTGCTTATATTTTGCTGACTAAGTAGTAAATAGAAATCTTTTCTTGGAGAAAGCTCTGTTTTATCGAACTTATCCCATGCATTTGTCCAGTTATATGGAAAGACACCCTTTCAAAAAAGAAGCTTAATCTTGTCTATTAAATATCTTTTCTCAGTAAAATACTTTACAGTTAGAGAGAATTTTTTGATTTTTCCACCTAGACATTCAACTAATTTATCCAGTCCCATTCCTATATGCTAAAAGCTATCTAGAAAGCGAAGCTGTCCTATATCTATTGCTTTGTACTTTTCTATATTTTCTGGAATGCATTTTAGCTTATCAGCTGTGAACTTACTAACAACTTTCATGAGCGGATGAGAGTTATAACCTCAGAAATTATGAGCAATAAGGGGTACTTTAGTTTCAAAAGAACCTATTCGTAACTTTTTATTATAAGAGTTGTGAGCTAGACCTCAGTAGTTTCCATTTATATGATCATGATCTTTTACTTTTTGATTAAGTGCACTTAAAGCTTCTTTATATGCCTTTTGCACTTTTTTCTTTTCAGAATGCTCTTTTTCCATACATATTTTCCATTCCTTAACTTCTAATAATCTATGCTTTACTTCTTCGAGTTTTTTATTACCTCTGGTGCTGGTTTTAAGAAAGGTCCCTTGCAAATCCAGCATTCTGTAGCTTCATTGTACGCCTTCAGGTCTTCTAGTACCATGATCATTTCAGCTGGTGCAGATAAATCTTCCTACCAATTACTGTAGTAAATTTTATAAAAAAGTTTCTGAATGGCTAGAAGCTTCTTCTCGATTTTTGTGACAAATCTTTATAAGGCATCTGGGCCTCTATATAGATTGTGACTCACAATCTCATAATTAAGTGAACTATCCATGTGAACCACTACATAGCAATAACCACTTAGCTTATGCCTCTGTATTCTTTCAGTATAGGTTAGTT